GTCGCCGTCGCCTCTGTACATAGGTTCTATGTCTCGGTGAGACCAGGGTGAACACGCATCCCGCGTCGTCGGTGTCACCCTCACTTTCCGCTCCTTTAGAGCTTTAATGTTATCTTCAACATCCGACGAAGAACTGCTGACCCCGCAGTCTTCGTCCAGTGGATCACGTGCCACTCCACGAGCATCTAGAGGCCGTGCCCAAGATGCCTCGAACTCTGTTCGACCACGCCATCAATGGCATGCAGTGACTGCTTCGCAACGAGAGCAGTGCTCAGTGGTTTACGAGCCACTCCACGCGCATCTGAAGGGCCGTGGCCAAGATGCCTCGGACTCTGTTCGACCATGTCACACATGACATGTAGCGACTGCTTCGATACTCGAGCAGCGCTTAGTGGTTTACGTGCCACTTCACGTGCATCACGGGCGTCTCGTCCTCGATGCCTCGGTCTCTGGCCCTTGGCTGACGATGTCACGCATGACATGCAGCGACTGCTCCGTAACTTGAGCAGCGCTCAGTGGTATACGTGCCACTCCACAATCAGCCCGCGAGCCACGCTCGGGACTCCTGTCCAATACAACGATGCTAAAGAAGCATCAGCCAATTCTGTTGTTGGTGTCAACCAACTCGGGCATTCCAATTTCTAGCACATTGACCGTCTCGGTCCAGTGCTCTCACCAATAGCGCTTTCATCTCCTAGCAGAGGTGGATTCATGACTCGCCAAAGCTCCACCAGGAGACGTGCGAGTAGCGCCCAAGGTCTTTGACCTCCAATCAATCCATGGTTCATGGTGTTCCTATCATGCTATTCCCATGATGAGGTCATACCTTGCATCCAAGTCTAAGACTTGACAGCATCCCACGCTATCAAAGTCAAGAAACTTGACTTCGAGGTCCACAGGGACTTTCGGGACCGTGACACGTGTCCTCGTCGCTAGGCGAACAATAACGATGTCACTCAACCGCGGTTTCAGCGTCTCAGCATAAACTCGAAGCCCTTTACTGTCGCCTCCACGACCAGCAAGCCCGGCTTGCAAACACGTTCCGTCTTCAAGAGCACGGAGCTCTTCGGGGCTGGGCCCTGTTGACCTTTGCCTCCCTAAGGCTCAACAGAACTCAGTTCTCCCCAGTAGGTCGCCCCGCGCCAACTGAGTGGTGTCGTTTCCCCGCGACAAACCAGACTGGTAGGCGTTGGGGCGATGGTTCGCAGAACCTTGATGCGCCTTGCGCAGGGGGCAGCCGTTCCGCAGATGACGGGTGTCTCCACAAACAAAACACTGACGTGTGCTTGCGTGCTGCCCGGCAGCTCGGAGCTCTGCTCTCTCATCCTCAGCATAGCTGAGATCCATGGACATAGGCCCGCTCGACGAGCTGTTGGAGTATGCATTCCAACCAAGTCGTGCCGACTTGAAATTGAATTCGGCATTCAATGTCACATTTACCGCCTCTTCGAACGAAGACGTATGCACACGGAAGACTTCCATTCTGGCCACGCCAGTGCGGTGGCCTTCCATGAAAACGGTCGTTTTTACCGCCTCCGGAAGGGGATCTGATCCCATCCCGGCAATGAGAGTGCGCATCTTGGACAAAGTCCACCAACTCTTTGTTGCCCTGTCGGACGGCAGGGAAACGCGATCGCACGCGATATTACTAATTTGACGGTGAGAATACTCGTGAGAGCTGCAATCTCAGCTCCGCCCAGGAGGGAAACGCAGCTTCGACCAAAGTGCTGCACGTCAGTGCCCATTCTCGCGCTCGACCATCGAGCTTTGAGATGGCCAGCGCTACGCGCTGTTGCCCGGTCTGGAGCATGGCGGATGCGATGGCCATCTCGACCTCTCTCACCCAGAAAAGGAGATTCTCTCCATCCCTTCCCACAAAGACCTTAACGCTCACCATGAGTGACTTAGGGCGGGGAATATCAATCATCCGTCACCGACGGTGACGTCATAGACGCAAATGATGCAGACATCTTCTGGTGCAGGGGCTCTAGCAGCGCGTTTTCGTAACTTGAAAATGCCTTTAGACGCGCACCGATTGCCTCGAGACCTTGCTCTACAAGGTGTTGCACGCCCTCAGGGCCAAGCAAGGACATGGGCTTGTTAAGCCCGTCCTGCATGCCCTGGGGCAACGAGGAAAATTGTTCCATCCTCACAAAGGATCAGTCTTGTT